AGTGACAAAGAGATCGAGGGGCGACTATTGTAAGTCAAAACAGAGATTAGTAAACAAGTGTTTGAGCCCAGCACAGGCTCTTTAAGCCACCAAATGTGACGGAAATTAATTCTGACTCAACCTGTCAGTTCCTTAAAGTTAAATTTGCCAAAGGAACAGATGCTGAAAAAATTACTAACATTCTTAATAATAGAAAAATCTTGCATTCCTCCACTTTTCAAGTTGAATTTCACACCCTGCATTTCCTACAGATATCCCTAAACTGTTACTTTCAAATTTTCAATTATATACAAATCTTATAGTTCCTCGATATTGAACATCTCAAACAAAATCCTCTCAAGTGTTCACGTTGTTTTTCTTCTTTCAACTGCAGTTATGCTGGACACGTCATTACCGTTGATGTCAAAGCAGCTGAAAATGAAGACCTAAAAGCAATTAGCTTAAAATGTCCTAAAAACAGCAAGCCCCGATCTTTCAATTGGCGACAGAATTTCATTTCTTTTATGAATTCTGTCGAAGATTATGCCAGAGGTTGGGCGAAATATGAAAAGAAGATCTGAACACGTTGTCAGAATGGATTAAGTGTTATAGAATTTTTTAAAGCATCGTATAAGAAATTTTAAAGTCAATATGAAAAAACATCTATCCTTACGTTTTCACAAAATCAGAGGTGATAAAAGAATTAAAAAGAATTAGAAAGACTACATAAGCACTATGTGATGCCTTCGGTAGACAAAGCTTGTATCAATATTGTCTTTATTTCCAAGGCTCATTATTATAACTGCAGTTTAAAAGAACTTGGTTCTAATTCTATGCCTGGGAATCCAATTTACAATCGAGGTTCACGATGGTTCATGAAATTCTTCAAAATTACATTTCGGTGTTTAGTACTTTTAACATTCAGTCAACCAAAGCGAGTTCGAGCTACCCTACCTATACTGGATTCACAAACTTCATAATAATCCCTACAGGGATACATTGCTGGACCAGAAAAATGTTCTACCAAGCCCCTATCTTTACTCCCTACAAAAATATTAACTGCTGTAAAAGCGAAACTTCAGACGTTCTGTGCTACAGCATATTCTAGAAGTGGTGTAAATCAGATGTGGATTCACCCAAAAAAAAAAAAAAAAAGTACCATGGGCCACATCGCTCACCTGAGCAAAATGCCTAGGAAAACGCACAAATCAATTCAGTATTGAAAAGTTTACATGGGGCCGGGGGGGGGGGGTTTAATTTTAAACTACCTGAGGATGCTTCCTTATCAATATAACAAATGGCTCTGCTGTTCGTGAGCAGAAGATTTTGAAAGATTTTTTCCTATGTATTCCTTTGTAAAAATTTGATACCCAATTGTGGCCCCTCCCTACCCCCAGGGGTAATCATTTGAACAAACTTTAATCTACACTACCCGAGGATGCTTCCATATCAATATGACTAAACATGGCTTTGCTGTTCTTGAGAAAAAGATTTTTTTCCTTTATATTCCTATGTAAAACTTTGATCCCCCATTTTGACGACACCCTACCCCCGGGGGTCATGATTTGAACAACTTTGAATCTACAATACCCGAGAATGCTTCCATATCAATATGACAAAACATGGCTTTGCTGTTCTTGAGAAGAAGATTTTAAGTTTTTTCCTATATATTCCTATGTAAAACTTTGATCCCCCATTGTGACCCCAACCTACCCCCGGGGGTCGTGATTTGAACACACTTGAATCTACACTACCTGAGAATGCTTCCATATCAATATGACTAAACATGGCTTTGCTGTTCTTGAGAAGAAGATTTTTAAAGTTTTACATTATATCTTCCTATGTAAAAATTTGATCCCCCTTTGTGGCCCAAATCTACCCCCAGGTGTCATGATTTGAGCAAATTTGAATCTATACTACCTGAGGATGCTTACATATCAATATGACTTAACAAGGCTTTGCTGTTCCTGAGATTAAAAGTTTTTTCCTATATATTCCTATTGTTATTCCCAGTGTTACCCCACCCTTCCCCCGGGGGTCATGATTTGAATAAACTTGAATCTACAATACCTGAGGATACTTACATATTAATATGACAAAACATGGCTTTGCTGTTCTTGAGAAGAAGATTTTTAAAGATTTTTTCCTATATATTCCTATGTAAATGTAGGGTGTAGACTTCAACTTAGGGACATACGTAACGTACCTTACCTACTGACCAGTTTTTGAGATATTCTTAATTTAAGACTATAGTGCCATCAGATGTTCGTAGGCAAAAAATCAGCATACGTACATTACCAGGGGTTTTAAAAAGATATCAATTGATGAAAATTCTTATATAATTCAAAGAAAAACATACAAAAATTACTAAAAATATGACTAGATGTTTTGTTTATCCAAACTTGTTTTAGAAGAAGTGTACAATAGCATATATAGACATTAAAATGTAGCACACAGTTCCTTTAAGTATTGGAACTCTTCAACTCCAGGGGAAAAGACAAACGTTGCGTATGTCCTTAAAATATGTTAGAATGCAAGTTTGAACATTTTTATATTATTAAGAAGGATAATAATATGCACAGCCTCTATTTCTTTGTTGGCAAATTTAAGTTTAAGAAACCGACGGGTTGAATCAGACTTATTATCATCCAACACACGTGATGGCTTAAAGAGCCTGTGCTGGACAACATCCAAAATCACAGACACTAGCGGAGACCATGTTTGAAATTAGCAATAAACAAATGTTATTTGCGATTTGAAACATATTTGTTGACATCTTTGAATTTTTTTATTTAGATTGTTGATATATCAGTAAAATTCGGGAAATACCTTCGTATAAAGAAAAATTATATAGTGTCAGATGCGTGGCTAATATTAAGCGAAATCTAAAGGGAAAACTTGTAAAACCACGACTGGAAAGAGTAAAATAAAATAAAGGCTTTGGAAAGTGTATATACGATGAAGAACAATATTTTGGGCATTTATTTGATAACCAACTTTAGAGCAGTCGATAATTCACACACACACACATACACACAGAGAGAGAGAGAGAGAGAGAGAGAGAGAGAGAGAGAGAGAAAGCTATTTGGCCATAATGCCAACCTTATATTCCTACTCCACGTCACAATCACATTTAATATGAAGTCCCGTTATTTTGCAAGGGCTTCCAGGAATTAGGCATATATCACATCATTGTTCGGAATTGCCAGTTTAATTCCTTCTCAACTGAAATAGTGGTCAATATAGGGAAACTCCATCACATATATATTAACTTTATCACAAATTGGCTTTTTGTGAGACGAAAAATGCACACAGTACGTAATGAGTCACACATTCTCGAAAACCATTACATTCAACATTAACCAAATTCATAACTTTTCTACTTGCAGAAATTTAAAAAATTCTATTTTGCGACATTAAGATTGAATAATTCGACCTATTGTTCTAGTAAAAAGAATATTTTCTCATTTCCTTAGTTTTTAAAAAAAAAACCTCAAGGAAACCTTTAAAATTGCAAATGGCAATCCATTATCTCCATCACAGACTTAAGGATATACCTACCTTCGATGATAATATTTACCATTGGTTTGTCAGTGTCATCGTCTTTGAAATTCAATGAAGTGCTTTATTCTTTAGGGATCAATTTTTCAATGAACGTGAAAATCGCTCTATGATTTTTTTTTTCATCCCCCTTTTTTCTAAATTAAGACCTTACTTAATGCTCTTAAATTCTCCAATGTTCTATAAAACCGCAAAAAAAGCTGGAGTGATCCGATATAAAAGAATCATTCAATAGGATATATTAAAAATAACCTTAAGCTAAAAAAAAAAAAATAATAATAGTACATGTATAATAGCATGCCCACAAATTGTCGGATCAAAATAAACAATTATTATATAAAAATATCAGGATTTCAGCAAATCCAAGCCACGATTCTTTAAGAACAGAATGGACTATGATAAAGATAGAAAAAGTAGGAGCATGAAATCTGTTAATATAAATATATACATATGTACCTAGTAAGTTAATTTTCATTTCAATACTCAAAAAATATTTTATAGTACAAGTAAATGGAAGGATTATATTCAAATATAATTTCCAAAATTTTTATCTTTGGTATGGTTCCATAGTATGTACATGTACTTCAGTAAAGTATTATAGTTATCTATATAGCAAACTTTGGTGAGGGGCTACAAAAGGTCATTAAAATAAAACAAAAATCGAAGTAAATGCAATAACTCCATTCTTGAACCTGAATCCTTTGTCATGGGAAGTTTTAAATTTACACAACAAGATAATTACCTAAGAATGATAAACTCAACCATGGATAATCGGGATTTATGTTTCTTTCAGTATTTCGAGCATTCATGATATCAATATAAATATGCTGTATCAAAGGGAGAAAGAGTAATAAATAGAGCTAAAATGCGAGGAGTGGAGTAGAATAGAGAAGCAATTCATATATTTAAAGAGTTGTTATTTTCTACATGAGTGAAGTTGTTCCTAACTGGTTTATAAAAGAGGAGGATATATATGCTACCAATTCCATAGACTGTCTATACAGATACGCGGTGTCAAAAGAAATTAAAAAAAAAAATAAAAGCTTCAGAACATTCAAAACTTTAACTACAATTTATTAAGAAATGATTTCAAACTGCAAAAATGGAAGATCGAACCAACACTCCTATGACCAGATCTTTGAATAGGTAATCAAGTCAAAAAGTACATGATATGTAAAGCTTGAACAATTAACTAAAATAATGAGTTTATGGACAAATTTCTATAGTAAACTTTAAAAATCTGAAAAAGTTTCCCCTTTTACATGAAAATAATCTTTTTTACATAATAAAGTATTCAAAATATGCCACAAATAAACTGTAAAGAGCTTTCTATAAATTTAGTTCCAAATTAAGTATTATGTTTGATTAATTTTAATGAGTTTTGATTTCATAAATAGTAGACATAAAATCGTAAATAGTAGACATATAGTCGTAAATAATATACTTATAGTCTTTAAATAGTAGACTTATAGTCCGACTGGAAAGAGTATCCACCTGTCTATCCATCCTACAATGTGCTGCACATACTGAAACAGAAATTGCATTTGTTAAGAAAAATGGCCATATAGATTTAAAGAAATCATGTATTTGTAAATATAGACAGAATTTCATAAAGTATCTTTTTCATGATTGAAGATATACATGTACGTCATACCTTGTATTTAGGACAAATATCACTGGATACCCAGCCATCAAGATCAGAGTATACCTGTCTTAGGATTTGAGGCTGATGTAACTTTTTGCAGAGTTTACAAAATGCGTGAAAATGAGATGTTTCCACATCTAAAGTTTTCCTCCAAGAAAAGTAACTATTGTATAATGTTTCATTTGTTGCGACAGATTTCAGGTAGTTTGCTAGATCTTTGATATTGCTAAAGTCGTATATATTTATCACGTGACTTGAGTTGACTCTTGTCTCCTTTTGTTCTTTGGCCCAATTCACCACCGGTATCACGCCTTGTTTTAAGGGAAACCATAGTTTTTCTGTGACGTAGTCCTTGCAATGAGAATTTTCAAATGATAATCTGAAGAGATAATCCTGTGCCCGTTCTGTAGATAAACATTGCTGTGATTTTGTATCACATTTCAATGAACCACAAGATCCAAAAATATCTATATTGATATATTTCTGCAATTCTCTCACAATTCGATAACGTTTGCCGTTGTCATTACAGCGACTAAACACAGCAAAAGCAAACTTTTTTCTGTTTGACAGTGGTCTTATGTCATTTGGGGAGGGTCTTTCTATGAAGGATCCATAGGGTGCAAAAACAGTGGAATCCCTTCTATGAGACATAGTCCAGTTGAAGAGGCCATTTAATTCAACAATGTTACGTTCTATGTACGTTGTTGGTTCAAGTAAGTAAATAATCCAAATTTGATTCGGGTTTCTCTTCTTTGGCAAATCTTTTACATGAAGGTCATGCCTTTGATAGTGGAATAATACTGCATCACTTTGGGCTATTCCCTCTCTTCCAGTGGCTCGACATTTATAACGACATTTTGATAAGACAAAATTAATACTATCTAACCATGACATATATCGGAAAAAAGTTGTCCATACTGCGATGGTTTTCTGCTTATGGTTGGAAAGTGTCATATTAGAAAAAGTAGTCACATATGAATGCTTATAATCATAAAATTTCATATTATGAATGGGTATGGAATCAATATAATTCTCGTAAAATAGAAGAAAGTATAAGATCATCACCATTACACTATTGGCAACACAAACATACGCAAATCTTCTTGCTAGTGAGTACCGCCTACATGTCGAAAACATGTTCCCTTCACCTTTCATCTGAAATTAATGAATCAGTTTTAGTTGAATGAATGGAGAAAATTACCCTGTGTGCTAATGTAGTTGTGTGCTAATTTATTACCTGCAAAATAATTTGCTAAAATTGGAATGTTTTATTTAGCCCGAAAAAACAAAAGACAAATGAAAAAGCCGCCCAAATGAAATGCCCTTATCCTTATCCTAGATATATATGCTTTAATAATATTTAAAGAAAATTTCAAAGTAATTTTGAAGTAAAAGATATGCGCTCGTAAAATCTATCTAATTGCAAAAACTTATTGCTATTTCATTAATATGTTGAATTGAAAGACGCAGGCCATTTTTAAAATAAATGTTTGGTTCCCTCTCCTGACCGACTCGCTAAAAATGGCCCGACTCAAAACTTTTTTCAACCTCCATGAAGCAATTATTTTTTTCATGCATTCAGAATAAAAGATTTTAAAAATTCAGCATTGTTCTTGAAATTTTCTTTACCCACCTACCGGCCCAATTTTTTCATCCTGCGTCGGGAGAGGCTAAACAAACACATGACTGTGTGCCATTATTTCATGCTATTTTGTTCGACAAAAAAAAAAAATACGTAAAGTACGTCATTCCTTCCAAAATAATAATACTTCTTTCGATGACTATCAATCTGAATAAAGTTTCTCCGTGTCGAATTAAAAATTTTAATGTATCTCCAGAACAAAGCAAGACTCCACATCTAGACTGAAAACAGAAAGCGTTAATGAAGCAACCAAAAAAAAAAAAAAAATATTGTTCTTCATTTGGTAGTGTTAAAATGTTCAATAAATTTCTAGAATTAATTGACATGGATATGACTTCAAAAAACATATAACCGTTCACGGTAGCTAAGTCGGTAGAGCGTTCGCTCCGTGATCGGAAGGTCGTGAGTTCGAATCTCCGTAGCGACTGAAGTCGATAAAAATAGGTAGGAACTGTTCCTTCGCCATGTGCTCGGCACTTTGAAGTGAAAGTTGCGGGTTCTTCGGATGTGACCTTAAAAACCGAGGCCCTGCGTCACGGCAGGCGTTGGCACGATCAAGATTCCTCACTGCTCAATGGCCCTGAGTGCCGAGTAAAGGTCAAAATTTGAAGCCCTTCACCGGAATATGGTGACGTCTCTATATGAGTGAAAACTTCTTGAATGGGAGGTAAAAGAACATACACTCAATCAATCAAACAATCAAAAACATATGTATAATTCTTGAATTGAAACTGCTGTGTTGTGTCAAAAATATCGACATTAACCACCAATATAATTGTCCCCAGCTTTCACTGAAAGTGGGGGATATTAATTTGGGTCTGTTTGTCCGTCCGTCTGTATTTCTATCTGTCTATAACACTTTCGTTTCCGCGCGATATCTCGAGAAGCCTTTGAACTTTTGCAATGAAATTTTACATAATATCTCCCTATGGCCTAAAAAAGACCCTTTTGATTTTGAGGTCAAAAGGTCAAAGGTCAAGATCATAAATTCATACATTCTGTCTGTTTTAACACTTTCGTTTCCGCGCGATATCTCGAGAAGACTTTGAGCTTTTGCAGTGAAATTTTGTACCACAACTCCGTATGGCCTATGAAAGACCCCTATTTATTTTTAGGTCAAAAGGTCAAGGTCGTAAATACATACATTCTGTCTGTGTGTAAATCTTTTATTTCCGGGCGAGATCTCAATGAGCTTTTGCAATGAAATTTTATACGATAACTCCCTTCGGACCCTCCCGCCCTTTTTAAAGTGTCCCCCTTGACCCTACCCCCATCTAGATCCGTGCATGCTCTTCTTTCTTTCTTAAGGGGATTCTCTGAATTAGCTTGTTACAGGGGTGGGTGGGAAGGGGGAGCGTTTCTAATAAAATCTTGTAATATATAGCCCCGATTTGTTGGTGTAATTCAGAATTCAATGTTTAGGTGTAGGACTTTCATTTGCTTAAAAGATATTAATATACTCGTATATCATTTTCATACATTGTAACGAAACTTGTCATTGGTTCGTTTGGCATCACGTGTCAAGGTATATAAAAGCAGATAGACCTGAATTTTCTAATTATAAACATAAAAAACTCGGATAGACCGGGACTTTCTAAAAACAGATACACCAACTTCTCTTTGTAATTGTGACGTCCTAATGGGTAAGACGTAACAATGCCCTGAGTGTGGATCTACTGTACATTGATAACATAGATGTTTAATAGAACAATTCTCTTTTCTGCTTGAATTTTCAGTAAGGCGTGACATTCTCGGCGATACATAATAAGCGTCTCTCAGATAGTGTCCTAGATTCTTTGCCAGATTAGCTCATTTTATGATTATAAGCATTCATATGTGACAATTTTTTTGGTGGCCAGATTAGCTCATCAATGCTGAAATTTACACAGCTTTTCGTTCACGGGTGAAATACACATGGGATAAAAATCGACCAGACGTCAACGAGTGAAGCAAGAAACCAATGACATCGTTTCTTACAGTAAAAAAGTGTAGCTTACGTCATCTCATCGTTTGTCAACAACAATCTAAAGTTGCTAATGTTATTAATTTCTTCACCAATGAGAATTAAGGTCACCATTTGAGATACGCTAGTTATGTATCGCCGAGAATGTCACGCCTTACTGAAAATTCAAGCAGAAAAGGAAAATGTAGTGCTATATCAAGCATAAATCTACACAAAAAATCATAAATAAATAAAATTAAGCATTTCAATTTTTTACATTCCCTAAATTATTCATTCAGTATAAAAAAGATACACAATGTCTTTAATACAGTTTATTTTGTTTTGATGTCTTGTGTCTATGTGATTTAACATATTTTATTGAAACACAATCAATGGGATTGGATACAAGTTATTCCAACTTAGATTGTCCTCTCCAACACAAACAAAATGACAAAAACAGATACACGTGATGTACAACCAACAAATGCACAATACAAAAAAGAAGAACAAAAGTGCAGTGCAGAGAAATAAGAAGGGAAGGGAATAGGAGTGCAAGGAGAGATGAAAGAAGGAAGGGGTTGTAAAAGATACAGAATGGTTACGCTGGTTATTATCTATTGTGTCTATGTGTTAAAAGCGAGATGAAAACTTGATTCTTTTTTCAAATTAAATGTTTTGTTAATCTCTTTAAAAAAATAATCAAACAAAATTATTGTAGCCCTTTCATTCGATTAATCCATAGATATATCGACTTCACAGAAAAGCATATCGACTGAGCACTTCGTGCTCAGTCGATATGCTTTTCTGTGAAGTCTATATATCTATGGATTGACCTCATGAAAGGGCTATATTTGTATAAAGTAATACTGTCTGGTAGATGAAGCAGAGTAATATCAGTAGCCAACGCTGTTCTTCATTGACCCAATTCAACTATTTACTAATTATGGATCTTCAGCATTATCAACCAAACTTGAAGTCCCTTGTTGTGTGTGTGGAGAGAGAGGTAAAGAGGCTTATTGTCAATGTTGCTTAATGAACACTGTAAAAGATTCAGAAAAAGTTTCGCTTTAAAAAAAGTAAAAGCAACTTCCTTTCGATAATTATAACTCGGATTCCAAAACATAAGTTATTATATAATTATTTGACATGAAAGAAGAGGATGAGCTATTGTTTACTTAATGACTAATCTTGTGTAGTCACGACCAGTTTTAAGTATTCCTCTCATCTAAATTCCCAGTGGTCATTTGTCAAACCAAAGAACAGTAATTATATTGTTGGCGGTAATGTTAGACACAATTTGAAGAGTACCGTTCGATTTTTCAGTTTAATACTCGCTACATAGATGTAGAATACGGAAGCGTATTAATGCCACATAATGTTTTTTTTTTAAGTTCGTAATTCCAACTTTAATCTGAGCTTTTCCAACTTTAAATTTGGTAATTCCAACTTAAAAGTTGGCTTTTCCAACTTTAAAGTTGGAAATTCGAACTTTAAAGTTGGAAATTCGAACTTTAAAGTTGGTAATTCCAACTTTTATTTTGGTTTTCCAACATTTAAGTTGGTAATTCCAACTTTAATCTTGGCTTTTCCAACTTTAAAATTGGAAATTCTCTTGGCTTTTCCATCTTTGTACTGCTTTATGCGTTACATTCAGATATTTTGTTAGCCACAAAATTTGTTGACACACCTACCATCATCAATATGCATGTGTTTTTAGTCTTTTTACTACTTTCCCTTATTGACGTCATACATTTCACGGTTGAGAAATTTTGAACATCAATATTAGTGCACAGTGACCAAGATACACCACTGACCAGTTTTCATAATTTTCGGTCATGCAGTCAAAACTTTTCCGCATGTTATGTTACCCTAGGTTTCTTTTTTCTTTCACTATATAAACGTAATATTATCAATAATCCTTTGTGTTCATGTGGTAAATTAATACGAAGATGTTTATTATTTCTTTTTTGCATGTATAAATTATCCAAATGCTAGAAATAAGCTTTTTAACTGCCTGTTTTTGCTTGACGAGTTGGTCACTATTGACACAAATTTGTTAATATGGGGTGACACAGATTTGCCTCTACAAACTAATAACATAACTTTTGCTGCTGTCCATAAATTTATTGATGAAACCTGTAGATTTTAAATTGCTATGTTATTGAACAGAACTTTCAATTATGTCACTTGTTAAATTAATATTTCTATGCAATTTTTTTTCTTTGCATGACAATTGTTATATTTAAGGAGAGGAACCAGTAAGTTGTAAGAACCTGTTTCTGATCCATTTGCTTATGTCAATAAAATATGTTCAAAACAAAACAGATACTTTGTAGCTGGACTCGTGTTGCCGTTTTATTGTTGAAATTACAATGGAAAGAACTCGTGTTGCCGTTTTATTGTTGAAATTACAATGGAAAGAAACGATTTAATTATGAAATTATGATGAAAGAAGGAATTATTTAATTGTGTTTTTATATACAAAATTGATACATTTAG